GTGGTTCTGAAAATACCATATTTGATAGGTCTTAGATCTTAGAGTCTTCATAACGGAGATACAGGGCGATTTATCGATTTCGAATAATTATTCATTCGTCTATATGTATTGACCTACCCTGTATATTTTTCTCAAATTTGGTGAGGAGCTTATACTTGGGACGTTAAATTCATTCACCTATCGGGCGGAGTGAAAATCCAGGTTCGGCTTCAGGAAAAATTTACATGTATTCGAAATATTAAAATAACACACTGTATTTAATAATCAACACAGTACATCAAAAGAGTTGTGAAGAGGAGGAAAAACTTTATTGGATTTTATGCTTTTTGTTTTCCCGCCACCAATTCTCATTGTAACAATCATAAACATAAAGTTGAAAGTATGTCAATTTGAAGACTATTTAAATTATGGAATCAGTGTCAATTATGATCAATCGATATATTTCAGTCAAAAAATCGCGCTAAAGAACTTACTAAGTCTCACAGTCTTTATAACTGAGATACAGGGTGAATCGAATTATCGTTCACTCGTCCATAAGTATAGTTCATTAACCTATCAGGCGGAATGGAAATAATACCAAATAATTATAATTCGATAATTCACCCTGTATCTCTGTTATAAAGACTATGAGACTTTTCCTGAAGCTGAACCTGTATTTCCATTCTGCCTGATAGGTCAATATGAATCCATCGTCCCAAGTAAGCTCGATACCAAATTTGAGAAAATATTACTGCGATGAGTAGTTCAATACTTATGGACGAGTGAATAATTATTCGAAACCGATAGTTCACCCTGTATCTCTGTTATGAAGACTGTGAGCTTAATAAGTTCTTTCGAACGATCATTTAACAAGAATATATCAAATAATCAGAATTGGAAGTGGTTTCATAATTTTCATACTCTTCAAATTGACATACTTTTAGCTTTCTGTTTATGATTGTTACGACGAGAATTGGTGGCGGGAAAACAGAAATCATCAAATCCAGTTCAGTTTTTCCTCCTCTTCACGATTCCTTTGATGAACTCTGTCAATTATCACATACAGTGCTGTGTTATTTTAAAATTTCGAATAAATGTGAATTTTTCCTGAAGCCGAACCTGGATTTTTGCTCCGCACGATAGATGACTAAATTCAACGTGCCAAGTTTAAGATCCATACCAAACTTGAGGAAAATATACCGGGTAGTTCAATACTTATAGACAAATGAATAATTACTCGAAATCGATAAATCGCCCTGTATCTCCGTTATGAAGACTCTAAGACCTATCAAATATGGTATTTTCAGAACCACCTTGGTGATCCCTATGTACCACTGAAATATTTCCCTTTACCTGTGGAACACCCTGTATATCCTATACGATTACAACCAATTTGAATCACTCTATACAGCATCAAATCGGAAGTCAGGTTCGGTTATGTTATAATCCACGCAAATGTAGATACACTACACCACACGCACACACTGAAATCTGAAAAAGAAGAAACATAGATTCGTAGATCATTCTCGAAGACCAAGGTTTTCGATTGAAAATCGCCAACCCCGAGTAGGCATCAACATCGGCTGGTCATGAATGATTGCATCGACATCGAACTCAGGTGTGGATTTGTATAGCGCATGCGCTCCTCAACAAATTAAATAGGCTAGCAATTAGTGCTGAGTTGGTGCATATTTACCACAACAAGGTTAATAAGTGAGAAATTGATAACAATCCTAGACCGAATAGACAATCTATTCAATTCTTAATAGGTGCGTTCTTAGTCAACTTGTTTACGGTAGATGGATTGCTATTTGTTTCGAATGGAATAGTATTATTGGAACCAATTTATGCAAATGAATTTTTAGGAACATATCGATATATTGCTATAGTCTAGAAAAATAACTCTATGTGTATTTGTTCGCTCATAGTTTCAGGGCAAATAATTATTCATCTTTCAGAAGGACAATCGAAGCGTCTGAAAAATTTTGGTTTCTATTCATAATAAGAAATATTGTACCCACTTTTGACACACCCTGTATAGCTGAAGGACTCAAAATATTTCAGGTAAATTGGAAATGATGATTCAATGGCAAGTTGAAAATTTCCTAGTGTGTGGACCTCGGTGTGGACTAAGGGAATCACTCTGTATTTAGTGGTTTGCACGAAAGTCTCAATTTCGAGTCTCGCACGATCTGGTCTTGCTATCGAGACGAGACTCGAGACAGTACTCGGACAAGACGAGACGAGACTTTCATTGGCCTGGTGGTCTCGTCTAGAGTCTTGTGCGAGAGGTCACGCGTCTCATACGAGAGTCTCGCAAGTGATGAATATTTCTACGTGTGGACTTGAAAACTGAAACTTGAAATATGCCTAACAGGAACACGTTTTTATAGTATTTTCAAAATGATCTAAAAACTATTGAAATCATTTTTTTTATTGGAGATATTGCCACTACTCTGATTTGTTTTGATGAAAAGTTTATACAACTCCAAGAATTGTTTTTGAAAACCGCTATATCAGCGTTATCGGTTGACGGTCATCACCATGATTATTTTGCTTTGCTTTGTCTATCCGCCACCTTCTTTGGGCCATACTCCGACTGTCATAAAAAATTAAAGCTTTCAATGCTTACATTGTTATTATGCATGACGACTATGACGAGGTTTCGATACTTTTACTAGATTGTCGCACGAGAAGCGAGACGAGACGAGAGTGGAGGCTGCGAGACGAGACTTAAGCGGCGTTCACAACCAAACTTTTTACGTTTTGCTTTTTACGTTTCGTCGTTGATTGATATATTACTTTCGTATTCTTATTGGTGAAGCAAAATCTGTAATAGAAATGACGCAAAAAGCTGAAAATATTCAGCTTTTTGCGTTGCGAGAAGCCATCGTCTGTGAAAATAGTAAAAATAGACGAATAATATGGAACATCCTGTGATAATATGGAAGTTATGATGATTTTTTCGTGAATCCACAGAATAGTAGATAGGTATATTGTTCAATTCATTATTTTCTTGTTGAAGATTGTTTTTTCCCTTCAAGTATCGAATAAGGATCAAATTTCGTCACCGCCAGTTCTATCAATTCAATATTATTAATTATCTGATCAATATTATTGTTATAATTATTTACTTCATTTCAGGATGAAAAACAAGTAACAAAACCAAGGCAACTGAGCCATAAAAAGTCACGTTGATTTTTTGTTGTTGTGAATGACATTTGCATTGGTTTAGTTCACGTTCAATATCAGAATACGAAACAACGTAAAAAGCAAAACGTAAAAAGTTTGGTTGCGAACGCCGCTTTATTGAGACGAGACTTATTATTTCATAGGCGAACCGAATATTTCGCGATCTAGAGTTATTCAGGATATAAAGCGACATACACAATATACAGTGTCATTCATAAAGTCGGCATCATATGGGAAACACTTTTAATAATAATTTATTACGAAATTCGATTTCGGCATCAAGTTTGCTTCAAGAAGATTGAAGATGGCCTAGAAAAGTTGTTTCTATTCCAATTTTGAACATGTGTGTCTCAAATTGGACATTTTATAAAAACTTTCAGTTTTTTATATTTTTTCAATATCGACCAAATGTCTGTATTTTAAAAATAATTAACACAGTCAAAACTATTTCATTCTAGTATCTTCATCATGCTAGGAACTCTCAATCACTAATTATCAACAGGAATATGATTTTTTCAGAAAATAACAGTTCCGCCTGTGACAAATTTCTGTTATGTTTCATGCAAAGTTGATGTATCACTCGAGGTTACGCAATAGAACGTTAAAATTCGAGAAAATTTGTAACATTGGAAGAAAAACAATCAGTGAACCTTTTTGAAAATATAACATATAAGTCTATTTTGTGACTTTTGACATGTAGCGAATCACGTGACTCCGGCCGAGTAGGCCATTTTTCATCTTTTTGGAAGCAAAACTTAACGCTCAAACCGAATTTCAAAATAACTTGTTACTAAAAGTTTTTCCCATTAGATACAAATTGCAAACTTCATGAATGACGCTGTATAGATTAACTCGTTATTCGATACAGATAAATTGACTGTGATGAGAACACAATGATTTGTTAGCCGACTATCTGGCTAATAAGTCCTATCATTGAGTATTCAAATAATCAAGGGTCCTATACACAACATAAGCCAGCGATTTGCCAAATCCCCTTCAATCACATTCATATTTTTCTTAGCATTACAAAATAATGATTTTATACTGATTTTATGCCGAATTATTGTTAACAACTATGTCAATGAAGTAAATGAAAAATTTCAAAATAAAACTACCATAATCAATTCACCTGTCCCTTAGCACTTTTGACAGCGAATTTTATCAGTTCACGTGTGGGAACAGAATGAGGAAATCGAAATATTGAAAAGAACTTATATTTTGATTCTCCCTTACCGGCTAGAGCTTTTATTATAGATAGAGTAAAAGAAACCTATACATATTTCTTATTATGATATGGTATCAGAATCTTATCTTTTTGATTTTTAGTGCAATCATCAGTTTCAGAACGTTTTGTAATGAAACAAAATTTCATAAATCTCGTTTGACATTACATCTATGGCTGCGTCAAATTCATCACCACGTTACTCTACTGTGGTTATATTCAAGTTGCAATTAAGTTGCGAATGATTCAGATAGGTAGTTATTTGGCTGCTCAGTCTAATTGACTAAGTTTTTGGTGAATCAACTACTCAGTTCTCAGTTGAAAACTAACACAGTTCAATTTAACGAGTTTTCTAATGCTAACTCTTATCTATTTGATATTTCCTATTTGTTGGCTACATATTTCGAAATTCAGAAAAAAAAACAGTCGCGTCGATAAAACAACCGCACTTGGCATATCTATTTCCGTCACCACAAATAAGCATAAGCGGGTATACTTCAAAAAAATTTGTTTACCCTAGTATTTGTAGTTACAACTACTATCACACTTTTCGTTCCTCACTGCAACAATTAATCATTAATAATTCAAGAACTCCCGTGTTATACACTTAAAATTGATCAGGTATACTAGAAGCAGTTGGTGAGTACACTAATAAATAACGCGAACCATTTCACTTGTTCACTGACACTGACCGACTCGGTGGTACCATTACGGAACGATAAATGCAGACAACCGCTGGTACGACAGATTTTTTTTTTGGGTTTTTAACCATAACTGACTTTGCGATGGGGTCTTAGAAATTCCCCGAAGCAGACAATGCGCTATATTTAGAAAAACCTGTCGCCACTGCTAAATTATACAACCATTTTGCCAGGACCGCATCTGGGGAGGTTTCCATTTACCCGACTATATCTACAGGGTGATCACCATCAAGTACGTGATGGAAATTTGGTAGATGATTCCTTGATTTATTTCATGGAGAAACGCTTCCCTACCAAGATACATGTATTGGAAATTCTGGAAATACGTGTCTTCAATTACATAATTATGAATAATGTAGAATTTAGTGGTATTTTAAGAAAATTCAATGCTAATGCCATGAGTATAGTTGGTTGAATACATGGTGACCACACTACATACTAATTTATCACTAACCAAATCGATTTGTAACTATATAAGAATCTTCACGAGGAAATTAAAACTGAATATCCCAGTCTAGAATGCCTGCTTATATCCAATAGCTATGTCCACCTGAATAAATCACCGATAATTCTGCAAGAAAGCGTGTAATCTAAAAATTGCAAGGTTTTTTTTATATTTTCAAAAGAGCTCGAGTCTGAAGGAGGAGGTCTTTTTTGAACAATATGAAAATAACCGAATGCAATCTGCATATGAGATAACACGCTAGAAATGCAAAATTATCTGGTAAATTTTGTGCACGAATGTAAGTCATTCGTATGGAGTACTTACCAAAGTCGCGATGTTTTTTCACTTTTCGGAGATTATCTAGCGACACGGTTTCAAATAATATATGTTTTCGCAGTGCAATCCTCGCTTTGCAGTGCAATTATCGTTGTAATTTTTCGATGATTGCTTTGCGCTCTTATGAGACATTCTATATATGAGGAAAATATTCGTTCAAGTAGACTTATATAGATGACGACACTTGTGCGGTACGGGAACTACTATTGGGTGTCGGCATGCGCAGCAAATGTGTTGAAACACGTTTTATGATACCCATTACATAGAATGGGCGCACACATATCATAGTTATTTATGTATCGAGGGCGTAAAGTAGGCGTTTATGGCCTGTGGCGTGAATAATGGCCCCATGGCGCTAGCGGAAGGCCATTATACGCTGAAGGCCATAAACGCATTTCACGCACGTGATACATACCAAATGTTATGCAGAAGTGGAATTTAATTTGTTACGTTTGAATTCAGTAATCAAGAGAAGCGTAATGTTCATGGATGATTTACTTATGAAAATTATCGTACGAATATTGCAATTATCGTAATAGTAAAACTATTTGATCTCTAGAAGATATTCATTCATCAGAATTTTACAATATGCATACCCAGTATATATATATACCTACCTAATTTTGACGTTGTCAAGCAAACTGATGGTTGTTGTATATATCAATACATCCAGTAAACAAGCTGAATTGTCATTCTCTGACTGAAAAGTAAAAATTAGTGATAATAATAATAGCGAGACTGTGGAATCGGATAAAGAAGAAGTTTATGATATACCGCTGGATATATTAGAATCTAGGAAAATGATCATAGTTTTTTGATTAATTGATTTGTGGATATAAGGTAACTGAGAACAGTGGGCGGTAAAGTGCAACTTAACTCCCGCGAAACAGGGCGGTTAAGTGCACTTTACGGCCCGCTAGTGCATGAAATATATTTTGTTACTGTAAAATGCCAAATGACAAGTAATGGAAACAGCGGGCATACAAACTTCTCAAGAACGATTATTAAAAAGCAAAGTAGTCTCCATAGACCGAACACCAACAACAATAGGATGGCTGCTAGATCTGACAAAATCTACAACAATACATACAAGACTCCAAAACAGAGATCCGCGACATGCAGTGCTGACGTAGATACATACTGCGCAGATGCCTCAACCAATTTTGATGATCGTTCGTTGGTCGTGAAAGATCTTTGCGTATCCTTATGTATTGTCATTCTATTTTTGGTCAGTGGTGCACCCAAATTCCACAGACCTCTTTTATGGATTTCATTCAAATATGTTGCGAAATGGAGAAGTTATAACGATGTCAAACTGTGAAAGTCATTTTGCGTTACCAAGAAGAATAACAATCTCGTTCAATGTACGAAAGGACTTGATAAAGTTTCCAGAAACTCATAGGTTTAGAAAGCGTTTATCATCAGTCTGGGTCGAAATTAGGCAATCTATTATCAGGTTATTTGGAAAATAAAATGGACACACTTGAAAAATCATGAATTTATGAAATTGGTTGTAATCATTGTGATAAAACATATATTGGCTGAACTAGGCGACCCATAAAAACAAGGTTGAAAGAACACTTAGTACATTTGAAATATTGTAGATTAGATAAATCGAGTGTAACGGAACACATTTCTAATCGCAATCATTACACACACTTTTATAACCATAAATTAGTCAAACAAGTTCAATGTTTCAAAATTGGATGCATATGGATGCCTTGAAATATTCAAGAATAGTATAATAGAGTTATGAATAAGGATAAAATGATATGTTAGTAATCTAGGAAAAGGACATGAGAATCCAATCATGACAGACACGGACTGCGCGGTTAGTGTCATTTACTATCGATAAGATCGATACTATCGATTATCGATAAAATGTTCGATGATTTTCGATAATTTTTTTTATCGCTTGGAGCGCACGAAAGGTAATCCCTATAATGTTCAAAGAACATCGTGCGTTCCTAGGGAGGATAGGAACAAGAGGTAGGTACGTATTGGAATTTTTTTGAACTTCTGGAGATTATATGTTGTTGGGAATATAAAAGAATAAAAGAATAAAAGAATAAAAGAATAAAAGAATAAAAGAATAAAAGAATAAAAGAATAAAAGAATAAAAGAATAAAAGAATAAAAGAATAAAAGAATAAAAGAATAAAAGAATAAAAGAATAAAAGAATAAAAGAATAAAAGAATAAAAGAATAAAAGAATAAAAGAATAAAAGAATAAAAGAATAAAAGAATAAAAGAATAAAAGAATAAAAGAATAAAAGAATAAAAGAATAAAAGAATAAAAGAATAAAAGAATAAAAGAATAAAAGAATAAAAGAATAAAAGAATAAAAGAATAAAAGAATAAAAGAATAAAAGAATAAAAGAATAAAGAATAAAAGAATAAAAGAATAAAAGAATAAAAGAATAAAAGAATAAAAGAATAAAAGAATAAAAGAATAAAAGAATAAAAGAATAAAAGAATAAAAGAATAAAAGAATAAAAGAATAAAAGAATAAAAGAATAAAAGAATAAAAGAATAAAAGAATAAAAGAATAAAAGAATAAAAGAATAAAAGAATAAAAGAATAAAAGAATAAAAGAATAAAAGAATAAAAGAATAAAAGAATAAAAGAATAAAAGAATAAAAGAATAAAAGAATAAAAGAATAAAAGAATAAAAGAATAAAAGAATAAAAGAATAAAAGAATAAAAGAATAAAGAATAAAAGAATAAAAGAATAAAAGAATAAAAGAATAAAAGAATAAAAGAATAAAAGAATAAAAGAATAAAAGAATAAAAGAATAAAAGAATAAAAGAATAAAAGAATAAAAGAATAAAAGAATAAAAGAATAAAAGAATAAAAGAATAAAAGAATAAAAGAATAAAAGAATAAAAGAATAAAAGAATAAAAGAATAAAAGAATAAAAGAATAAAAGAATAAAAGAATAAAAGAATAAAAGAATAAAAGAATAAAAGAATAAAAGAATAAAAGAATAAAAGAATAAAAGAATAAAAGAATAAAAGAATAAAAGAATAAAAGAATAAAAGAATAAAAGAATAAAAGAATAAAAGAATAAAAGAATAAAAGAATAAAAGAATAAAAGAATAAAAGAATAAAAGAATAAAAGAATAAAAGAATAAAAGAATAAAAGAATAAAAGAATAAAAGAATAAAAGAATAAAAGAATAAAAGAATAAAAGAATAAAAGAATAAAAGAATAAAAGAATAAAAGAATAAAAGAATAAAAGAATAAAAGAATAAAAGAATAAAAGAATAAAAGAATAAAAGAATAAAAGAATAAAAGAATAAAAGAATAAAAGAATAAAAGAATAAAAGAATAAAAGAATAAAAGAATAAAAGAATAAAAGAATAAAAGAATAAAAGAATAAAAGAATAAAAGAATAAAAGAATAAAAGAATAAAAGAATAAAAGAATAAAAGAATAAAAGAATAAAAGAATAAAAGAATAAAAGAATAAAAGAATAAAAGAATAAAAGAATAAAAGAATAAAAGAATAAAAGAATAAAAGAATAAAAGAATAAAAGAATAAAAGAATAAAAGAATAAAAGAATAAAAGAATAAAAGAATAAAAGAATAAAAGAATAAAAGAATAAAAGAATAAAAGAATAAAAGAATAAAAGAATAAAAGAATAAAAGAATAAAAGAATAAAAGAATAAAAGAATAAAAGAATAAAAGAATAAAAGAATAAAAGAATAAAAGAATAAAAGAATAAAAGAATAAAAGAATAAAAGAATAAAAGAATAAAAGAATAAAAGAATAAAAGAATAAAAGAATAAAAGAATAAAAGAATAAAAGAATAAAAGAATAAAAGAATAAAAGAATAAAAGAATAAAAGAATAAAAGAATAAAAGAATAAAAGAATAAAAGAATAAAAGAATAAAAGAATAAAAGAATAAAAGAATAAAAGAATAAAAGAATAAAAGAATAAAAGAATAAAAGAATAAAAGAATAAAAGAATAAAAGAATAAAAGAATAAAAGAATAAAAGAATAAAAGAATAAAAGAATAAAAGAATAAAAGAATAAAAGAATAAAAGAATAAAAGAATAAAAGAATAAAAGAATAAAAGAATAAAAGAATAAAAGAATAAAAGAATAAAAGAATAAAAGAATAAAAGAATAAAAGAATAAAAGAATAAAAGAATAAAAGAATAAAAGAATAAAAGAATAAAAGAATAAAAGAATAAAAGAATAAAAGAATAAAAGAATAAAAGAATAAAAGAATAAAAGAATAAAAGAATAAAAGAATAAAAGAATAAAAGAATAAAAGAATAAAAGAATAAAAGAATAAAAGAATAAAAGAATAAAAGA